GCCCTAGCCGGTTGAGCCACAGGCGCCGAGCCTAAATAGATTTCTTAAAAGAAGAATCTATCCTATAGAATCCATTCCAATGTTTTACAGCTTTAAAATTCTCAAGCCCCTAATCAAAAATCTCTTGAGCCATGCTTCCTTGTTCTTTCTGCACTGAGCTCATGACAACTGGTTGAGATTTTCTTATCAAAATCCTTCATTGGTTTAAGGCTATTATTAAAAACGGAACTATCCAGCTCCTGATAACAAGAACCATGACTTACATCTTTCTCTGTCCTTCAACAAAGTCTTAAAGTACAGTTGGACTTCCGTTTATTTAATCATCCTTGAACCTTTCCTTACTGTTCTTAATCTTCTCCCTTAACTTTGGAAACTAGAACTAAATCTAATACTTTCCTAAAAGTTTAAACAGGAGGCTTTATAAGGGAAGAGAAAATCTTGCTTTTTTTTTTTTTTACTCTTAGCTCTCTTGTTTAAAAATTATCAAGCTTTATTCCTATTCCAGGTAGGATTTACTATAGATAATCACTGTGTCATCAGTAATTAGGATGAAGTAAGATCAAAGAAATTTATTATTCATTTTTCTTCATTCAATTGCAAAAATGGATAAAAGAAAGTATGTTGAAAAGATAGTTACCCACCTCGACTGCTTCACTTGACTAGGTTTAAAAAAAAAAAAAGGGAGTTCCTTTATGGAGCTCTCCTACCAAATTTGATTTGGGAATCTTTTGGCACAATTAGCATGATTTCACTAGAAGCTTTGTTTAAGGAGCAAATAGTGAAAAGTCCAAAAGGTACTATGCAGAAGGTCAGAAAGATGTTTTGCTGAGATCCTCCACCAACTATCATTTCTGAAGATTTTCTTGCCCCTTGACCAAGCCTTAAGATAGCTTCTCAGTTCCATTTCCCACTAAATGGCACTGGAACAATGAATCTGTTAAGAAATAGAAAAAAATCTACTTAACGAGTCTTCAAGTGATTTGCTGTGAACCTTTAATTAATAATTCCTAAAATCAATTCATTTATTTTTATCAGTGATCTAGACCATGGTGGCTTTCTGCCATTTATTATTTCTTATGCAAATCACTCCTTAGTCTCTGATCCAGATGGTCTCTTAGTAGGCTGTAGATTCAGCAGCATTTTTTTGTGCCACAGCAGCCTCCGGCAACCTCAGGGACACATATGGACTTCGTATTGTCAGAATCTTCTGCAAGCTTAAATGGGTCTGTGATTATATCCTGTCAAAACAAGAACCAAAATTAAAGGACAAGTTAAAGGGTTTTGGCGAGCTCAAACACTAATATTTGTTTGATTTAGGTTGATTTACATAAAATTAAGGGAAGATTTTATAATTTCATGGGGTCCTGGGAGTAGCATCAATCATTCTGTTATAAAGGCAATCTACCTGCTATAAAGCCACTATCTTCCCAAAGTTTCTAACCAAGTTATTATAACTCTCAAGGTAAACTATTTTGTTTTCTTTTGTTTTGCTTTGAGATAGAGTCTCATTCTGTCACCCTGGGTAGAGTGCCTGTGCATCATAGCTCACAGTGACTTCAAACTCTTAGGCACAAGTGATCCTCTTGCCTCAGCCTCTCAAGTAGCTGGTATAGGTACCCACTACAATACCCTGCAAGTTTTTCTTTTTTTTGGTAGAGACTGGATCTAGCTGTTGTTCAGGCTGGTCTCGAATT